AGCAGAGACAGATACTGGATTGCATACAGAGCTTAAGTATGTGGAGAGCAGAGATCTTGCACAATTTCGCGGTTCTTTGTACCCTTAGAATTGTTTAGGTGCTGCTGATTTATTAAATATAGGCCACCAAATAGCGCTTTGTAGAGCAAAATTGGACGAACAATGGCCGCTTAGATTCAATGAAATATTCGCCTGTTTGAAAGTGGTGAGCCCCGATAGGTGTTACTTGATACGATCCATTGTGTTGACACTCCATAGCAGCTTTCTGTCGAGAATTACTCTAACAAACTTAGCAGTGTGTTTAAATCTCAGGCTTGAACCGTCGAATTTGGTGGTCGAAGTTATGGTGGTTATATTTCTAGACTGCAAAAATCTGTGGTACGGTTATGTTTGGTCTCGTGCAGGTTATCTCTGAGTTACTTTCGTACCTTTCATACACAGTGATTTCAGACGAATCAGTATCCTCCTTATTTTTCTTAATGGCCTTTGAGAGACTAATTGAGGCGAAGATGAGAAATAATATTTGCAAGCACAGAATTGCGGAATCAGCATCCGGTTTGTGCCGTCTATGATTTTGAGGGGACGTTTAATAATGTTTGGCCTGAGACAATCGTGAAGTCCCTAAATAAAGTGGACGTTGAAGGTAACCTAGTTAAATTTATTTATCACGTGCTTCGCCATATAGTTGTTCTGCAAATGGGGTCAACGCATCCATACGAAAAAGGTTAGAAAGGATTCACGCCACTTGTTTGTTTTGCAATCGTAATCTATCTTCAGGAGACTTGGAAGTAAAGTGGCTGTAGGCTTGTGGATAATTATGACGCAACACTTATAGTTAAAGAAAGTACCCTGAATAAAATTGTCCAGCGATACCTGAGCTCGGTTAAAAACTGGGCTGCAAGTTTCAGTTATCCATTTTCGAAAAACGTAAATGTTTTGTTCTTTTTGCCTGATACCGCTAGATGAATCCGCAAATTAGTTAGTTAGAAATTCTCCTAAACAAGTGCAAGGTCTCCGAAGGTGAGCTTTTGTTAAAAAGCGAAGGCAGCTAACCCCCAGCTGAGTGTCACGGTTCCACACGAAGAAGCCACTATCACCGTCATACCCGAGTGGCTTTGAATTCAAAAGGATCCAAAGCAGTAAAATCGAGGATTACTACAGAAATTCTGGATTCAAACATAGACATATCGAAAGAAAGAAACCCCGGCACACGTTAAACCCCAAATTCGGCCTTGATTCAAGGTATGGTCGGCTAATGAAGTACACATCGATAACTGATCGTGTCATAAATTCATAAATGGTGTTGAAATAGCCAGACTAATGACGCGTTTTACGAGTAATTACAAACCTTTTTTTTTTTTGCTGTGCGAGCCGACCCGGTCTAATATTTGTATACGTTTTTATATGTACATACATATGTATGTAATCACTTTAATTCTCAGTTATAATACGCGAAGTGAATACCACGCAAGTGAAGGATTCCATCAATCCACCAGGCTTCATTCCCCGTTCAATATTTCATACAGTTAATTAAAATGATTTATAACATTCGTCATTACTTCATAAATACTCGATGAATACAAAGGCTTGTAACCGTAATTAATTAATTTTGTTGAAAAATAAATGACAACTATTAAGATAGCGAAACCAGAGAAATTACAAGGCCTGTGAGCTATGCTTGTTCTATTATGAATACCTAATAGAAAGCGCATAGCCGTGGAAATGAAGGAAATTCTCCACCTCGCAACTTAGATTCCATCAATCACGGTCGTTAACAAAAAGGGATGTACATATGTATGTAGGTACGTCACACCGTAGGACGATATATGGAGTAGAAATAGGAATTGAAAGCTTCAGTCCATTTTGAACATCTATGCATAGTAAATATAAAGGAAAGTCGAGATTCTTTGTAAGCGGTAATCTCGCAAACTACTACGACAGGAGAGGGATCTTTTTTACTTCGAATTTTAATAGGGTTGCCACCTGCCAAAAAAACTATTAGAACAGCACCGTTTGTTGGATTACAAAAAAATAAGGTGTCAAATGAAATCGAATGGCCTCTAGAAAAGCACGAATGTCGTAGTTTTTGAATAGGATTGCCACCTGTTACGAAAATTACTACATTCAATCATAATAACCGTAGGCATCAGTTTTGCACCATCACTGTCATCATCACTTAGCCTATAGGTGTGTAACAATGTATGTATTATTTTGCTAAGTAGGGTTGCCACCTTTTTAAAACTATAGGATCTTCACCGTTCGTTGCATAAAAAAAAAAACCAGATACCAAAATTTTTTTTTTTTTTGAGTAGGGTTGCCACCTATTTAAAATGACTATCTTATCCTTACATAGTATAATGAAAATCCCAGATTTTTTTAGCACGCTAATCTCGAAAGCTACTGAACGGATTCGGATGAGATTTTGTTTTATATATTCTGTATCGATAGGGGTATTATCTTTAGTGCTTGGCATTTCTATAGGGTTACCACCTGTCTAAAACCTTATTAGATCCTTACGTTGAATTACAAAAAGTGAGATGTCAAATGAAAGCGCTTGGCCTCTAGATATTCAGTAATGTGTTATTTTTTGAGTGGGGTTGCCACTTTTTTAAAAATGATAACATCTTCACCGTTCGTTGGA